AAAATGGCATGAAGAATAAACCCCTGGTTGTTAAAGTTTAAGATTTAAGACAGTTAATTCTTATGATTATGAATTGATTATTAATTTATTGTTGTAAGTAAGCCATATACTAAAGTTTACCCATTAGTTAGATGATCTTTGAAAGATGGTCATGGATGCAAAAGCATGATTAATGTTATGAAATGGCATTAAGATGCAATGTAATATATGTTTTAAGATGATGAATGTGAGCAAGAGGTAATGTAAATGGATTGATAATCCATAGATGAATCAAAAGTATTAAGCTCACTAAAACATGTATTTACATGTCATAAGATGTTAGAGATGCATATGGACTGTTAGATTAAATGCCCTAGAGCCAATCAATTATTGTAGAATTGACTCTTTGTAATAATGTTCATTGATCAATAAAAGACATTTTATACTATATCGCGTAAATCATCATTGTATGTATTGATATATGTCCATAGAATGGTAGAACCGTGACGAGGGTATCAAGTGTTTCAAATCTTGATGTGAGAACCCTATGAGCACATATGGTGGCCATTCTAGAAACGTCCGTAGCCCCAGTATTATTCTGAAGTAAGGGCACAGATAATACGGTAAGGCTATCATAGTGTTGAATGACCCTGTCGAAAGGCAGTGACTGATCTCACTTGTCAAGGTTGTTTGGTGATAACCTGGTGCAACACATGGGTGCTTGCTGTAGGCAAGTTCACTGGACTGACCCACCAGAGGATTCCATATGGATGGTAACCCCAGTGTCTATGGAACAAATCCTCTAACGAATGGTGGTGCATGTGATCCTTAGACTTGAGATCACCGGAGCACCTTGTGCACCGATTGGTGCAGTTTGACACTAGCCTAACACAGTTCTATTCAGAGATGTCAGTACGGTAGTGATTGGCTATATCAAGGAGTGTATCAAGAATATGGTGGATAGACAAAGGATTCATCACTCTCGGGTACGGGAGAAGTTATCTCATGGCGCAATTCAGTAATTTGCAATGACACTAAAACTGTGGCCACAGTGGGATTGAGTTGTTGCTCTATCCAGTTTATAATACAGGTCATTGGTCTAGTAACTGAATACATAGTATTGAGAGTAACCAAAGGCTGACACTATTTCTATGCCTCGGTGTCGTCGAGATAATGGATGATGAAATGATCAAATTGTATGGTAACCATATCGTTGATAGGTAGCTACTTTGCTGAATCCGAATCTATCGAGTAGCCATGATGCCTTGTTAGGGGCTAATCTTGGTATGTGTTTAGTGAGACGATTAATTGGTGTTAATCGCGATACTATACACTGTCGGTATGATGAGGAGCCTATGGGTCACACACATAGAAGATAATTTAAGAGCGAGGAAGTCAGAAGGGCATTTTCGTCTTTTTAGACAAAAAGGTATTTTGGTAATTTCACAATGCAATTAAATTTACTGAGGTATTAGCCTTTATTTAATTTGTTAAAAAATTAACTAAGTGAAATTACGTTTAGATATGTGTTTGCATATATTTAAATAAATTATCATTATTGTTAAATGTTAATATATATTAGTTGATTTTAATTGAGATAATGATGAAATAAAATAATTATCTAATTGGGAGTGTTTGGAAACAAGGGGTGTTTGGGTTGGAGCCCAAGCCTATTCCATATGGGAATGGGGCAATTAAAATATTACTATAAAAGAAAAGTTTTAATTGTAAAAGGTAAGAGATAATTTCATTATTCATTCCTTTCATTGAAAAGAAAAACCCACAACCCCTTTTTCCTCTCTCTCGCGCCAGAATTCATGTTTGATTGAAAAATCAAATACTCTTCATTTCTTCTTGTTTCTTAAGGCTAAAGAGGATCTAGAAAATCCCCTTTTAGTCCCTTGCGATTATCTTCGTGTGGACTACGTCGATTCAATCCTACACTTGGGTTAGTAGCAAAATACGTTCAGAGACAACTTGGAGGAGCCTTCAAACATGCGTATGATTTCTTAAACTCTAGATTAATTTTCTGCGGATTCTTATTTTGATATAAACTGTAAATTTGTACTTTGATCTTGGTTCTTTGGAACGATCCGTGTTGTTATTAATTTTTGTTTTCCACTGCCTCAATGGATCATTTCCTAACATGGATGGTACAGAAAACACGTAAGCATATCCTCATATACCGGTTGAGGAAAGATGAATATATTCTTTAGATGCTAAATAACGCATAAGCATGCCTCTTGATGATATGAGCTCTAGATGAATTTGAGGCTAGATGAGAGGAAAGATAAATATATGTTTTAGATGCTAAATAACGCGTAAGCATGCCTCCAGATGATATGAGCTCTAGATGAATTTGAGGCTAGATGATATGAAGTGCTTAAGACGCTAAGAAAAGTTCGATCAGACAGATGTTGGATGATTCATATGCATTTAGTTGCATTACATGAGTTATGATGTTATTTACATTATGAGATGATTTGTACTCATGTTAGATGATATTTAGATGTTATGACCTGTGATGTGTGTACACTATGTTTACATACTTATTTGTATATGTACACTTGATGTTTTATATGACCATGGAGAATATGATGAAAAGTATATGAGTTAGTAAAGAAAAGGAACCATACTTAGATGCAAAAGATGTGTGGTATGTGAATGAATGTGTTTTAATGAATGTCAAATAACATACTTGGTATTAAATGGATCATTCTCCTACTGAGCAATTAGTGCTCCCCCTTTCATGGTTGAATGTTTTACAAGTAATCCAGAAGCAAAGGATGTTGGAGATAGCAAGGTTATGCTTGAGGGGAGATAATTTATTGTTATCCTGACATTTATCTTGATGTAAATGACAAATGTTTTTGAAACACCTTTTTGAACTTTCCACCATATGAATGAAAATGACTGGAATATGTTTTGATTGATGCCCAAATAAATTTAGGGTTTTATTTTTATTTTTGATGGTACAAATTTTGATCCTGTGGTACATTTTATAGTAATGTTTCAGAACATTATTATTATTCTTGTATAGGTTTTCTAAATATAACTCGTTCTCCAAACATAAATTCTCTGGATTCTCATTGAGGGATATTTAGAGGGTACTTGACTGGGGAGGGGTTTTACACATTACATATGTTATTTGTAAGAGAGTTTGTAGAAATTGACATGGCTGCCACGTGGCATGTGGGCCACATCACTTAATGCTAAAATTTAAAAAAGAAAGTTTTTTCTTTTTTTTTTTTTTCAAATCAAAATTTTCCAATTTATCATATACAATAAATCAAATTCCCTCCCAAATTGTTCAATCCCTAAATCATATTCTCCCCAAAATTTTACAAACCCTAACCATCAAAATCTCTCTTTGTCAAAGACTATTAAACCCTAACCACCACATCAGCCACACCTTCCAGCGGACGACCACCACCAGCTAGCCGTGCATTCCAACGGATGACATCACTAGCCAGCTGTGCCTTCCAAACAATGACCATCGCCAACCGAGCCTTCAAAACGACGACCACCTCCATTGCACCTTCCAAAAGGGTATTTGTTTTTTGTTTTTTGTTTGGTGTTATGCTGATTTCTTATTATCAAAAGCTGTTTACTTTGTGTTTTGCATATCTATTGGGTGATGGGATCTCACTGTAGATGGAGTTGTCATGTTAGGGTTGTAAAAGAAAGTTTGTGAGATTGGGTTCTAAGTGCGTTATTACTCTTTAATAATAAAGTTTAGCTCACAATCTAATCTTACAAACTCTTTCTCACAATCCTGATGTGATAGCTCGCAATTGGTCAGATGGGAAAATTTATTAGAAACCTATTATGAACTGTCACATCGGGGTTGTGAGAAAAAAGTTTTTGAGATTGGGTTGGAAGTGTAGTATGCCTATAACTTAATATATCATTATGATAAGGGGATTTGTACTTGAGTAATGCTATAGACACCGAATTTGTGCACTAAAATTTTTTACCGAACGACGTGACATCCACTAAGATGCAACCACGTTGGACAAAAAATACTGATTCTGTAAATGGACGACCGTCCATCTTACATGGACGACTGTCCATACGTTATGGACGATCGTTCATCACGAATAGACAATCGTCTATGACAATATCAATGGACTCTCGTCCATATAATAAGAACGGATGCCCATTTACTTTGGACGGGCGTCCATATAAGATAGACGCCTGTCTAGAAAAGTTTAAAAACAAATAATGGATGTGCGTCCATATACAATAGACAACCGTCCGTGTACGATGGACAACTGTCCATACCCAAATTCTAGTTTAATAAAAAAATTTCTTTAAAAATTTCTACATTGTGAGTACTTTTTATCTATCTCTCTTGCTTTGCATTTTTTTATAAATGAAAAAAAAAAATTATCAATTTTAAAAAAATAAATTTATTTGAGTATGGACCCCGTCCATCTCATTTGAATGGCCGTCTATTGTATATGGACGACCATCCTCATTAGATGGACTGGCGTCATACTTTGTACTTTAAAAATCAATTTTTTTTCCTTTATTTCATCTAAATGTTTTATGATTTAAAAATGAATATTTCATCTAAAAATTTTGACTTAGACAAGTCATAGTTTTTTATAAATGAAAAAGAAATTGTAAATTTAAGAAAAAAATTATTTGAGATGGATTGACATCCAATACTTTGTGCTTTAAAATTATAAGACGAATACTTTGTACATATAATATGGACAATCATCCATAGTAAAGGGATTCTTGTCCATAATATATGAACGAGAGTCTATTGATATTTTTTAGACTCTCGTCTATTTTTGATAAATAATTATCTATAATTATTGGACGACTATTTATTCACTTAATATCTATACTGTACCCTACGTGACCACGCCCAAGTCAAATACCAAACAGATCGGTGTAAAATTTCGGTACTAGTATTAGTATTGTCTGTAGCATTTTTGTTTGTACTTTTATCATCTCAGTAGTATTTAATTTCTGACAAAGGACGGTTTGCTCAACTGTGTACAGCCCCAAAACAGCACACGTTTCATCTCCTAAGAGGCTAAAACCCCTTACAAAACCCTAGGACACTCCACTCCTTATTCTCTTTCCCAGCTCACTACTCAAGACAGTCACCGACGAAACTGCACCCATGGCTCACTCCGCCCTCCGCCTCCGCCGCTCCCTCCCGCTTCCTGCCGCTCTCCGCCGTTCCCTCTCTTCACTCGTACCTGCACTCTCTTCTCCCCCTCTCCTCAAACCCTCAATTTCTTCATATTCGCCATCGTTGCAGCAACAGTCATCTTCTTTTCTGGCCTCTAGTGTTCAATCTCGGCCGTTCAGATCGTATCCGACGGTCTCACTTTCGTCGAATAAAACGTACCACTTGTACAAGGAAGGTGATGAGATAACGCCCGACACGATCCTGTTCGAGGGTTGCGATTACAATCACTGGCTTATTGTTATGGAGTTTCCGAAAGATCCTAAGCCTACGCCTGAAGAGATGGTTAGAACTTACGAGGAAACTTGTGCTAAAGGACTCAACATTAGGTATTTTCTTTTTCTAATTTTAAAATTTTAATTTTGGATGAATTTTTTTTTTTTTTTTGAATTTAGGGTTTTATTGTAATTTGAACTTGAGAAATATGTGCTAATATTGGGTCAGTCTATTTTTTATTTTTAATATTGAATATATATTCTTATTTTTGAATTTGTTTTTATGGTATTTGAACTGAAAAATTGTGCTAAATATTGGGTCAGGTCATTTTTACTCGTGAAGTGGTTTCGAGTATGAGTTGAAATGCTTTAATTGTATGATTCTGTGCTCTGTGTTCTTATTTTGTCTGAGAATTGTTTTGAATATAAGTGTTTTTTTTTTTGTAAGAAAAGCCGTAGTCCATTCCATTCTAGCTATTTTGGGTCCGACCTGTGTTCTGGTCAGCTTACTTCATGGCCGGATTAATTGCTTTAAGAGCATTCCTTGGTCGGGCATTGTGCGTCATTTCTCCAGTGGAATGGTTATTTATTGTGAAACTTTGATGTGACTCAGCTGTTTTTTACCTTTGAGTATTGTATTGATGGTTATGTAGTTGAGCATCTTTTTGTTATGCTATGCATATGTTTTATTCAGATAGTTTCAAATAGGGCTGACAGTCGGGCCGAGCTTGAGTTGAGCGGCTCGGGCTCAGCTTGCATTTTGTCGAGCTGTTGGCTTGACTACAGTGTCAAGCCGAGCTGGAACATGACATCGGGGTCCCTGTGAATTTTGGAAAGTAAAAGGGGTGATGAAAATTTTACAGATTCAAAATGACAAATCCACCCTTATGGAAAATCTAAAAATCAAATGGGGATTAATTAAACTCAAATTGAAAAACCCTAACATCTAAAAGCTCTCTTCTCTGCGTGTGTTCCTGATCTGCCCCTTTCGCGTTTGCTGTTCCCGATCTGTCGACGTCATCTCAGTCTTGTGTTGAAGTGTGTTGTCTTCTGTTGTCTTGACGCGTGCGGGCGTCTTCTTCATCTTCTAATTTTATTTGGAGGTAAATTTTTTTGATGTTTTGTTATTTGTTTACGTCTGAACCAATTCCTCTGTTTATTAGTTCAATCCCCAGAACTTCAGTGAATCATCCTCTCGCAACAAAGGGTGCCATCAGCTGAAGCAGCCGCCTCAGCTTTGCAAACAGAAGGTCTCTCCTTGAGACAAATAACTTGTGGTTTTGACACAAGCCACAAACTTGCGAAACCCCATTTGAAGATAACGAAAACCAAAGGGCTTTGGTTTAACAGCTAAAATTCTCTGCTTTAACCTATTAGATGGTTGCAAAGTTCTAATTTTGGGATTCAATGGTAAAGAAAGAAGCCCTCTTGTTTGCAAAACAGCTTCCATATCTCTGTCTTCTCCCTTCCCACTCTTAGCTTTGTTTGTGATTTTGGTGTTAAAATTTGTTAATAAGAAGATAAAGTTGGTTTGGTGGAAGAGATTTAAAAGAGAACAGGTGGAAGTGAAGCAGTGAAAAGTTGAAGAGTAAGATACAATCAAGGGCAAAGAAAGAAAAAACAAAAAAGTATTGCAGAAGGATCTTATAATTTTCAATACTCAGAGCTCAAGTATCCCTATCTGCACTCAAGTTCGAGCTCGAACTCAAAACTTCAGGCTCGACCAAGCTCAAGCTCGAGCTCAAGTAGCCAGATTCTCCGCTTAGCTCGAAGCCACTCCTAGTTTCAAACTATAGGGAAGGAATTTGCCGGCACAATTATGTGTGTACTTAGCTTAGCTAGTCTAGGGCTTCTGTTGTATATGGCTAATTTTAGGAGAACGACATGGGAAAGCTAAAGATGTTCAACCGATGCTTTTTTATGACTTGAAACACTTTCTCTTCTAAAGCACCTAACAAAACCTATCAAGTGATTCTTGGAAACTTCTTTTTGATACATCTATGAGCTGATTTGTTTTCCCCAAAAATCACATCAAATATTTTTCTTGCACCAAAGCGCTTTTCAGAGAAGCTGATATACAGAAGTTATTCTTGGAAAAATCTCTAATTTTTCTTTTGCTATTCTGGTTGAGACTGCAAAACGGGCACAATCTAAGAATGTTTGTGCTTTGCCTTGTTTTTCTGTTTTTCAATATTTGGTTGTTGGATAAAGTTATTTTCATCTTATGCTCAGTGGTTCTGTTTTTTCCATTTTCATCTTTCTTTGAATGTTCAACATATTTCACCTTTTTTTTTTTTTTTTTTTTCATTGAACACACTTTCTTGATTTTCTATTGTGCGACTGCTATGCCATTGTCATTAACTATATCTTCAAAACAAGAATGTGCAGTATAATGTTCTGTTGGCAGCTTCTGTGTAGCTGTCTCTTATATCTTCAATTTCTGGATAGCATGTATGTCTACAAGACACTTTAAAGTTATCAAGTTGTTTTACTGATGTTACAGGGAATGAGCATTTGTAATTGTTTATGTGCTTTCTTTTTGTTTAAGCTTTTTCCTATTTTGTTGGATCATTTCTCAATATCCGAAATGTGGCTTCCATGTTTATTGAATTGTGTTTTTGTTGATAGGAATGACATATAATGATTGATGTTTGGCATCTTTGTTGGAATGCTTCTATGTTCCCTCATTATCAATATGATTTAATAACAATTATTTATTTATTTATTTTGCACTTTCATGGTTAGAATCCTGTAACATTTATGAGAATGTCTTTATTTCTTGAGGTGTAAAGACAATTGTTCAAAGAAGACATGCCTGAAACAGCGACTAGTTTGGCTTACAGGAACTTATGGATTTTTCTCTTTCTTATTTACCCCTCTCCCTGGTTAATCTAAAACGGTTTGTTGGTTAGAATATAGATGTGGTTCCCATTAGTATTTATCTTTAGCATGAAAAGCTGACATTGTATTCTGAAAAAAATAATGTCTTTTTCTTTGTGCACCGATTTTCTGTTATGCTTGTAAATTATTCATATGATTCAAAGTATGGTATTTTGAGACGTAACTTTTCTAATTCCTTGGTTAATGNTTTCCCTCATTATGAATATGATTTAATAACATTTTTGTTTTTGTTTTTTGCACTTACATGGTTAGAATCCTGTCACATTTAAAAGAATGTCTTTATTTCTTGAGATGTAAAGAAAATCATTCAAAGAAGACATGCCTGAGAAACAGCGGTTAATTTGGCTTACGGGAATTTATGGATTTTTTCCGTTTCTTATTTATCCCTCTCCCTGGTTAATCCAAAATGGCTTGTTGGTTAGAATATAAATGTGGTTCCCATTAGTATTTATCTTTAGCATGAAAAGCTGACATTGTATTCTGATAAAATAATTGCTTTCTCTTTGTGCACTAATCTTTTTGTTCTGCTTGTAAATTATTCATATGATTCAAAGTAAGGTATTTTGAGACGTAACTTTTCTAATTCCTTGGTTAATGGTTGGGTTCATGCAAGTGAATTTTTGCTTGCTAGACTCCCTTTACTTTTGGTGCTCAATATTTTGTGATTTTTGTTGCGTATGTTGAGTTTTCTTGTATAAAATTGTCTATGCTGATTTCGAATCATTTTTCGTGGTGCTAGTTTGGAGGAGGCAAAACAAAAAATCTATGCTTGTAGCACAAGTACTTATCAAGGCTTTCAGGCAGTAATGACTGAACAAGAGTCAGAGAAGTTTGATGGCAAGTGTTTGTAGCATTTTCTCAATATCAAATAACATATATGGTATGGATGCTGAATTTTCTATTATTATAAACAGGTCTCCCTGGAGTTATTTTTGTGTTGCCAGATTCTTACATTGATCCACAGAACAAGGAATATGGAGGTGTGATTATTATACTGATAAGCTTTCAAGCTGCTTTTTTTATTTTCCTTTTTTCGGTCTAGCATAGGACATTGCCTCACCAATATATAATTTAGCAATTTTGTACATGAACTTATAATATTTGTACTTATCAGGAGACAAATACATTAATGGAACAATTATACCAAGACCACCTCCTATTCAACGCAATACAGGGGGAAGATTCCATGACCGAAATAGGAGTTCTGACCGACCGCCAAGATACAACCAGCAAGGAGGTCCAATGCAAAATCAGCAAAATTATCCTCAAAACAATTCATGGCAAGGCGATGGCAGGAACCATGGAGCTCCACAAAATTATCCACCACAACAGAACTACCCACCTCAACAAAATTATCCACCTCAACAAAATTATCCACCTCAACAGAATTTTGGCACTCCTGGTCAAGGAGAAAGGGGAGGTCCCATGCCAATGATCCCAAGTGGAAGGGAATCACTTCAAGGGAATAGAAAAGGTTCAATACCTCCGTATCCGGGAAATTACAGTCAAGGGGAGCGAAGAAACTATTATCCTCCACAAGGAGACCAGAGCAGTTATGGGGAAAGGAATTTTGTAGGAAATAATTCAAATTATGCTCCTCCTTCACACGGTGGAACTTATGGGCAAGGAAAAAGTTCTAACCATGGACAGAGTTATGGGGGGCAAGGAGAAAACCAACGATTTTCACCAATGGAACAGGGAAATGTACAAGGAGAGCAATGGAACTATGCACCTGTGGGACAAACAGGGACAAATCAAGTAAGGAATTTTCCCATATTAAATTAATTGTCTTGATATGATAGAATTGTCTTTTAGAGCTTTTAAGTTATCTTTTTTTCTTATGAAATTGTAAGATGAATATCATACAGCAGCTGAAATATTAACTTTTCCATCTCCTTGATACAAATCTTAATCAGATAGTCAATAGCATACTGGTCAAACGGAAGCTATCATACAGGGTCTTGTGAGCATAATTCTTTATCATTCTAGGGAGCTGTTTCATTCTTGAATTTTAAAAGTTTGTTAGTGAAATACCTTTTTGTGCAACTTATGTGAAAATGAGCAATTCTATCAATGCAAGTTAGTTCCTTTCCATCTTGCCTTTTCTAGTAAGAAGGGGTTCAGTGCATGTTTACTGACCAAGTTTTTGGCATCTGCAGGGACGGTATTGAGAGAGGATTATAAGTGGTTCTTTGGGACGTCGAGTAAGAAGGGACCCGAGAAGGATTTATGAAATTGCTTCTCCTCTGATTACTAGTTCACAAAGTAATAGGATAAAACTCTTTGGAGTCGGCTATGGTAAATATGCTGTAATTTTTTCTATATTAATCTCTATTTCACCTGCGAAGCTGGAGCTAGTTACTTTCTTACACTGTTTATCGGTTTTAATGGATTCAACTCAGATTTTTACTACCACCTTGTTACATATATGCTCTTATAAATGTGAATCTTATGTTGGGATCCTGTTTTTGGAAGGAATATATTTCAACCATAATTTGTTTGGTTGTTAATTGAATGTTTTGTTTGTTCACCAAGTTATAATGTTAACCCCGTATGAGAATCTTTGGTGGTTGTGATTTGCATGATGAGCCAAAATCAAAGGCATAAGATAAGGTCTTAATGACAAAAAAAGTTTATTCAGAATAATGATGTGCTTTTGTCTAAGAACCCCTACTTTTATTTGGGTTTGGAATATTGTTTTCATATATAGGGGTTTAGAAAGATTATTCGAAGAAATTATTTAAAAAAAAAAAATAATAATTCAATTTGATTGTAATGGAGTTTTAAGTTATCATAAATAAAAAGATAAAGACATGAATTAAAAAAAAAAAAAAAAAATCTTGAGTGCATACAAGTAGCTTCACTCTTCATCATAATCGCCATGCCAATTTTATGGATTGTATTAAGTTATTGGTAAAGATAAATTGGAAATCAATTAACATATTATTTCAAAATGTTGTAATAAAATGTTGTTATTTTTTACTCATTAAAATATATAAACAAATTTTAATTATAATTCATCAAAATATTTCTTTGAAATTACTAATTTGTGTAAACATTCCTTAAAATTGTCGGGAATTTAGTTTCTTTTTATTTTTAACCCCATTTAAAGAAATGTTTTCTTTTTTGAAGTAGCCAAGAATAAAAAAACGTGTGAATCTAATCACTTTCTTGATATGATGTTTGAACAAAATAACCGTGAATAAAAAAGGGTTGGTTATAATCATACTAATATTACAGAATTTCTCGCCAATTGCGCATGTAATATTTCAATTCCTTCTCTCTTTCTCTCTCTCTCTCTCTCTCTCTCTCAATGAAGAAACAAGAAATCGAAGGAAATCATTTTCTCTTTTCTTCTGATCCTTAAGAGTCTTCTTCTTCTTCTTCTTCTTCTTGTTCAGGTGATCCTCATGATATTACATTTTCTATATCCTTCATTTAAGCCCTTCACTTTGCCTCATGTATACTTTTAAACTCAAATAATGAAAATAAAGATAAGGAATAAAATGGATTTGTTCTTAGTTCAGCTGGTTGGATCTCTCAAGGTTGTATGAAAGTTACAGAAGTCAAATCCCACTTGGTATATCCACCTTCTGTCTTCCTTGCTTTCTATCTTGTCTAAGCTTGTTGGATTTTCCTCATCCGCTGTATTGAATCTATCCAGCTTACGAGATGTAACATAATCCCCAGAGGACCCAAGGAAGGAAACTAATCCAACGGCTTATAAAGCGCTTAGAAAATGGAGTGGATTAGGGCTTAGGTTACAGGGGCAGACATCCCGAGAGAGTGAATGATGCATTCAGCCTCTGAATCAGACTAGCCCATGGCCCCTGCATTCTGTTAGAAATTGGCTTTCTATGTTGCAACTCACAGGATAAATTTGCAGAGTAAGAAAATAGAGAATAAAACAAGATTAAAAAGTAGAAGAGAGGAAATTCGACACAGTACTTATATTGAATTGAAGTATAAGTTTTACTTTTGACATATAACAGAGACCCAAACTTGCTCTTTAAATAGGAAATAAAACTCCTTGTGTTCAATTTTTTAAGCCTAAAGAATGGAAGTAATTCCACTACATATTTTATGACTCCATAACTTACTATACCATAACTCCACTAACATAAAAATAGGAATTAATTAAGCAACACATTTCATCATTCCCCCTTGATGCGAAACCAGATATGCCAAGTAGATTCCTGAATTTCAAGAACTTGGAGTAAGAGAGAGCTTTGGTAAAACCATCAGCAGCTNAAAGAAAGCCCTTATTCTGAATTATCCTGGAAAGTTTCACTAGATACTATAATTCTTCCTAAAATCAATTGCAGGTCCTTTCCTGTTCGCTATTGAATAAGGCTACCTTTTTTAGTTGTTAATTGTTGTTAATAGGAATGATAGATGGTGCTCTGTGTAAAATTGTTAGTCATTTTTGCAGAAAGCTTGAATTTCACTCGCTTTGAAGTGCCTTTTTTATTCTGTGTGAGTTTCATGTAATCTAATTACTTTCTCTATTCTGGTCTCAGAGAGGGACGATTCTTGGATCATGTTATGGAGATTACAGCTATTTGTAATGGCTTTGTGCAGATACATTTAGGAATTTATGTCTCCTTTTGCTCAACTGTGTTTTGGTGATGTTTTAATATATATATGCACCTGTAAGATCAGAGGATTTCGTTCAATCAATGAAGTTCACAAGCTTTATGATATAGATATCGGTCAGGTCACATTGAATTTGAAATTGACTTTGAGATTCTTCACAACTTGACGTTTGGTATTGATGGATGCATTTACGACCATATCTTTAGAAAAATGAGATGCATTTAGAATCTGGTTTTCCCTCAGTTTAGAAGTTAGAATGGCTAGTGATGGGGCTGCCACCCCAAGGGCATCTGAGGAACCAGTTTTCTTATATGGCGATTTGGATTTATGGATTTTAGAAGCGAAATATCTTCCCAATATGGATTTAGTTTCAGAAAGATTGAGAAGATGTTGTAATATGTTTGGTCAATGCTCATTTCCCTGTGGGCAACAACCAGCAGGGCTTTCAGCTCAACATTCAATCATTACAAGCGACCCTTATGTGTCTGTTTGTCTAGCCGGGGCTACAGTAGCACAAACTAGAGTAATAGCCAACTGTGAAAATCCTTTGTGGGATGAGCATTTTCGCGTGCCTGTTGCCCACCCTGTTGTAAAAGTAGAATTTCATGTCAAGGATAATGATGTTCTCGGAGCTGAACTTATTGGGACAGTGGAGATATCAGTTGACAAAATCCTTTCCGGAAATGGTCTTAATGATTGGTTCCCTATCAGTGGACAGGGCAGAAAAGGTATGGAGCTTTCTCCTGAATTGCATATATCTATGCAGTTTTGGCCTGTTGAACAAAACCCCCTTTATAAAGATGGAGTAGGAGCAGGGCCAGATTACATAGGAGTTCCCGGTACATATTTTCCCCTCCGAACGGGAGGGAATGTGACGCTTTACCAAGATGCTCATGTACCTGATGGTAAGCTGCCGGAAATTGCACTTGATGGTGGGAAAGTTTTTCGGCACAGTAAATGTTGGGAAGATATATGCCATGCTATTCTGGAAGCCCGCAACATGATATACATGATTGGCTGGTCCATATATCACCCCGTAAAGCTTGTGAGGGAGCCGACAAGGCCATTACCTTCAGAAGGACAGCTTTCATTAGGAGACTTGTTGAAGCATAAATCCCAAGAAGGGGTCCATGTGATCCTACTGATTTGGGATGATAAGACTTCGCATGACAAATTCCTAATAAAAACGGTAGGTCTTTTGACGCAAAACTGACAATAAATGAATGATAGATTCAGTACTGATGTTTATGCGAGATACATATGAACTTTGATCAATGACAGGCTTGAATGTGCAGGAAGGTGTCATGCAGACTCACGATGAAGAAACTAGGAAGTTTTTCAAACACTCGAGTGTCCAATGCGTGCTTGCTCCTCGCTATGCAAGCAATAAACTCAGTATATTTAAGCAGCAGGTGTGGAACTTTTCTATTTGGATTTGGAATAATGCTGCAATTAAGATACTACTTGTAATGTTATTTCTCACATAGTAGCTTTTTCATTCATGAGAGATGTTTACTTCATTATTGGTCATATCTGAGTTAGACTATAGTAGTTCGATTTGTTATCTTATTCCTTGTTTTGAATGGATCCTTCTAGTCCAGGTTGTGGGAACCCTATTTACACATCATCAGAAGTGTGTGCTTCTTGACACCGAAGCATCAGCAAATCACCGGAAAGTAACTGCTTTTATTGGTGGTCTGGATCTATGTGACGGAAGATATGACACCCCTGAGCACAGGCTCTTTGACGATCTTGACACCATCTTTGCTGATGATTATCATAATCCTACATTTCCGGTAGGTGATTATCGTTAATTCCCACAACTTCTTCCTTTTATAAAAACTGTTGCAATTTATCGACTATGATGTTTTGATAGTTGAAATCTTGTTGACATGTACAGTCTTATGCTAAAAATCCAAGGCAACCATGGCATGACTTGCATTGTAAAGTTGAAGGCCCTGCTGCATATGATATATTAACAAATTTTGAGCAAAGATGGACAAAGGTCAGAAAATGGGGTGAATTCAGCCTCAAAAAGGTCACTAGCTGGCATGATGATGGTTTGTTAAATCTACAGCGTACTGTTGTAATGACACCCTCTCCAGGTCCTGATGGTTATAGAAATCTACGTGTGACAGAGGAAAATGATAGCGAAAGTTGGCATGTTCAGGTGGGTAAAAATTTTCATTGAAGTTCATGTTTATGCATTATTGATTCTGATGACATCATACATTAATCGTGCTTTTGATAGGTATTTCGGTCCATTGATTCAGGGTCTGTGAAAGGATTTCCAAAGGATGTTCAGGAAGCTTCAGCTCAGGTTAGAACTGAGCTTAGCCATGCTTAATAGGCTAGACAATGTTTCGTATTTTCTATATTTGATGTACCAGGGTTATGAATTTGCTCTATGTTACCTTTTTCCTGCAGAATCTGGTCTGTGGAAAGAACTTGAAAGTAGATAAGAGCATCCATACAGCATACGTAAAATCAATAAGATCAGCACAACACTTTGTATACATAGAGAATCAGTATTTCATTGGATCTTCATTTTATTGGCCATCATACAAAAATGCAGGTATACTAAGCACAAGGTTATTTAATGTAATTTTATGGTGACCTCTGAAAAATGTACTGATTGCTGCTTAACTTTGACCGAAGGAGTCTGTGGTGTTTTCCATTTCTATCTCTTTTTATCTTGATAATTTCACCGTCAAATTTGTGTACATATTTCTATCTAGCTGAATCTTGAGGATGCCAAATCTGAATGCCCTTCTTTTGAATTTCTTTACAAACAGGTGCTGATAACTTAATCCCCATGGAACTGGCAATGAAAATTGTCAGCAAAATCGATGCAAATGAGTATTTTTCTGTGTATATAGTAATACCGATGTGGCCAGAGGGTGTCCCCTCAAGTGCTCCTGTTCAGGAAATTTTATATTGGCAGGTTAGAAGAATCTCTTTCTTTTGACGAACAATTAAATTCAGCATATAGATCTCTGATCGTTGCTCAAAGATGGAAATAGAACTCAAATTGTTTGGACCTGGGACATAGCAAATCTTTTGCAGGGGCAAAACATTTGAACTTCTTCCTTCTCCTAGTATTAATGAAACTAAACATTTGTGTGAGAGAATTTTTTATGATATCTTGGAGCATTAGGCATATAATTGTGACATCTAATGATTATATGAGGTTTAACTGACTGCAGAGACAAACAATGGCCATGATGTACAAGATTATTGCACAGGCACTCGAGAGAAATGGCCTTTTGGAGATTTACCATCCACGAGATTATTTGAGCTTCTATTGCCTCGGTAAGCGTGAATGGCCATCTCAGGATAGTCGATCTCATTCTGGTCAGCAAACAGAAAGTCGTTTACTGGTATGATAGTTATTACAGTTCATATTAACATATAAATTGATTGGTTCTTCTGATATTGATGTTGTATCTTGAATGACTCTTTGATTTTTGTTCTTGTAACAGGCTGCAGCTCAAAAATACCGCAGATTTATGATTTATGTTCATGCCAAAGGAATGATAGTTGATGATGAGTATGTAATGATGGGATCGGCAAACATCAACCAGAGATCCATGGAGGGCTCAAGAGATACAGAAATTTCAATGGGTGCTTACCAACCTACTTACACATGGGCAGCAAAGAAATCTCATCCTCGTGGCCAAGTCTGAAACATGATTAGTCTTTTTTTAACAAATCTCATTCATTTAGCTCATGAAGAATGTTGTTTTACATTTCATCAACTGCATAAGTCTTGTTGCAGGTGTATGGTTATCGAATGTCTCTATGGGCAGAGCACCTTGCCACAATCGAGGACATTTTTCTCAAACCAGAGACACTCGAATGCATGAGGCATGTGAACAAGATTGCCAAAAACAACTGGGAAGCATTTGTGTCTGACAATCACGAGGAAATGAGAGGAAACTTGATGCAGTATCCAGTTCATATCACCCGCAGCGGGAAAGTCACTGCAATGCCAGGTTATGAAACATTCCCTGATGTTGGTGGCAAAATTCTTGGAGCACCTTCCAGTCTTCCTGATGCTCTAACCACATAACAGTTATTTGATAACTTGTAAATAAGATTATTTACACACTAATACACAGCTTGAAGTTTATTTAACAATGGAGTTGTGTGAGTTAGCAGTGAGGACACAAGTAATGTTTGATGAACATATATATATAGTTTGTAAGAAGAGAGTGTACATTACAATAACCTGAAATCATTTGGTTAGCTGCATTTTTTAAAACCCATTGAAATGAATGATACTACCGGTCATCAAATTGTGAAAACAAGGAAGGAATGTCAATGGAATGTTAATTTTATTGGTTCTTAAGAAATATTATACGTGAGTCAAATGACGGACCTATGATCAAGCTAGGGAGTGGGGGCTGGTGACATTATTATGTAATTTCATTTTAATGCAAGTTTTACGCTTTCAGGAAGGCGATTAAACAAGAATTTTGTATTCTTACATAAAGTTACATGTTGTGTACTTAATAATTCTTCAAGAATAGCATTATTATTTATGTTGTTAAGCCAATTAAAGAACAATTCTTGTTTTTAATTGGCTTTTGTTTTTCCCTTAAATTTCATGTATTTTGAAAGAAAAAGAATGGATATATTCCTTAAATTGTTTTAAATTCTACAATGGTGTTAACAAAATTGTGTAAAAAATAACATATGGCCTTTCATAATAAATTATTGAGTGGTATTATTGAAACCCTACTAATTTATTAACAAAGTTATAATTACATATATCAACTTTAAATTTATTTATATTTTCTTTTAATAAACCTTTTCTACACTCAAGAATCATAAACCTAACTCTAGTTTATAATATTTTTAAAACACTAAATTAAAAAAAAACAAATAAGAGGGCACTTATCCAACTCATATATATTTGTCAATTATTACCATCAAAATCCTTCGTCAAGCACTTTGCTTCTAGACGGTATAGAGAAAACAGATTTTTTGTTGACCAAATGTTAAATTATTTAATAGAAATCGTTGCTTAAGCACAATGCAGAGAAATTCTATTGCTCTGATAGTGGTTTTGAATTAAGAGTTTGTTGATAAAGCTTGAGATTACAAAGTTAACTATAACAATTTGACAAAGATTTAAGTAATTTCAATTCACAAAAATTCGTAATTAACAAATATTAAATTAATAAAATGATACTTATAAATTAGTAGGGCTTAAATAACAAGCTCTATATTCTTTGTTGGTATGAATAAAAAGGTTACGCTATCGTAAAACAAATTTTTTATACAAATTTGTGGCATAAATTCACCGTCAATGATTTATGCTAATCCAATGGACTTGAATGAGAAATTAGAGTTACTAATTTTTAATGTCATTTAAACAAATTCTATAAAAAAACATGGGTAAAGGGTTCCTCAAATTTTTTTAAGGAATCCTAATTCTTGAGATTGGGAATCCTGTAAATTTACTTTTTTGACCCCCTTTTGAATTTAAATTTTCTATATATAGATTTTTATTTAAATTTTTATTATTTTATAATTTAGTGATTAAATACGATTTTGTAAATGTTGACATTAGTTAAACAGTTGATTGGAATATTTGCATGGCAACAATCATTTTAAGGCGATAAATCATACCTAGCCAACATCAATCATTCATAGCTCTCTTCGAAGAGTGTGAAACTCGTCCTTATCAAGAGACTTAACAAAAACATCAGCCGATTGGTGATTATTATTAACAAATTCAAGCACAGTATCATCATTGCTAACATGATCACGTAGAAAATGATATCTAATATCTATATGCTTTGTACTAGAATAATGTACTAGACTTTTAGACAAATTAATAGCACTTGTATTATCACAATCGATAAGAATGTTATGCATTTTAACACCAAAATCTTCATGTTGCTACTTCATCCATAGAAGTTGTGCACAACAACTAGTTGTCAATACATATTCAGTTTCTGTAGTAAAAGTAGCAATTGAATTTTGTATCTTTGAAAAACCATGACACTAGCATGCTTCCTAAGAATTGACATGTTCCATTAGTGCTTTTTCTATCTATCCTACATCCTTCATAGTCAACATATGAATATCCTGTAAGACTAAAGGATGATCCTCTAGGATACCATAAACCAATGTTTGATATTCCTTTCAAGTACCTTAGAAGTCTTTTCACAACATTCAAATGAGAATATTCTTTAGGACTTGATTGGAAACATGCACACATGCACACACTAAATAATATGTCATGCCTAGATGCAATCAAATACAATAAAGCGTCTATCATGCTTCTATAAAGCCTTATATCAACACTTTTTCCTCCTTCATTAGCTTCTAATTTGAGTGAAGTGCTCATGGGAGTAGGTTGATCTTTTGCTTCATTCATCTTGAATAGCTTGAGGAGATCATTTATGTACTTGGATTGATTTAGCAAGATCCCATCATTTTGTTGCTTGATTTGTAATATGAGACAGTAATTTAATTCTCCCATCATGCTTATCTCGAATCCACCCACATCATCTTAGAAAATTGTTTGATAAGATTTTCATTAGTAGCACCAAAGATGATGTCATCAACATATATTTGAACTACCAAAATGTCATGCTCATGCTTTTTTGTAAATAAGGTAGTATTCACCTTTCCCTTTGTAAAACCATCTTGAATAAGAAAACTACTCTATCTTTCATACCAATCTCTAGGAGCTTGTCTTAAACTATAAAAAGCTTTTTGAGAGTTTAAGAACATGTTCATGAAATTTGGGGTTTTCAAATCACGGTGGTTGTTTGACATAAACCTCTTCTTGAATAAATCCATTTAAAAATGCTCTTTTAACATCCATTTGAAAAAGTTTGAAATTTAAATGGCATGCATAAGCAAATAACATTCTAATTTCTTCTAATTGAGCAATGAGGGGAAGGGCATAGCTAGGTTTCATCAAAATCAATACCTTCCTCTTGAGAGTAGCCTTGGGAAACTAAACTTGCTTTGTTTCTTACCACTATACCTTGTTCATCCATCGTGTTTTGGAATAACCATTTGGTGCTGATGATAGGATGATCTTTTGGTCTTGGTACAAGCTCCCAAACTTTGCTTCTCTCAAATTGATTCAACTCCTCTTGCAATGCAAGAACCCAACTTTCATCACTCAATACTTCATCCACTTTCTTTGGTTCCACTTGAGACAAGAATGCTATGAAATGACATGTGTTCCTTATTGAAGCTCTTGTTCTTACTCCTTGAGTGGGATCACAAATGATTTGTGCATCTTTCACTTCATCTCTCACTCTTGAAAATGAGACCTCCCTTGTTTTTTCTTGCGGTTCCATGAATGTATCATTTTCATCATTGACCTCTTCTTGATGTTCTTCTTTATTGATGGTTGATGGTGATGTTTCATCATTGATCTGTAAATTTTTCATCAACTCGTCAATCTCTTCTTTATTTTTATTTCCTACATCCTTAGAAGAAGATTCATCAAATAACACATCTATAAATTCTTGAACTAAGAGTTCTTTGTTGAAAACTCTATACGCTTTTGAATGTGGAGAATAACCAAGGAAAATTGCTTCATCCAATTTGACATTGAATTTTCCAAGGTTGTCCTTGCCATTGTTAAGCACAAAACACTTTCAACCAAAAGGATGAAAATATGCAATGTTTGGCCTTTTCCCTTTGAATGACTAATATGGAGTTTTCTAAAGGATTGGTCTAATGATAGCCCTATTGATGATTGTAACGCCCCGCTTGAGGTACGTTGTTATTGTTTCCTCTTTTGCCCTTAATCGAGTTGGATTTTGTTATTATTGTTTGATTGAGTGTTGTGTTGAATGTTTGCCCTGAAAATTGGTTGAAAACAGAAGAAGTTCAGTCTGCCGTGCTTCGCCGGGGCGAAGAAGAAGCTTCGCCGCGGCGAAGATGTGTTGAAACCAAAGGGAACTCCCTGGACAGTTTCACCGCGGCGACAGAGGTTTCTTCGCCGCGGCGACAGGCCGAATAAAGGGTTGATTGAGTTTTAGATATTTTCTTCCTTAAGGACAATTTGACCATTCTACCCCTAATTAGCAGGAAAAGTGGGGAGTTAATTGTAAGGATATTTCATGGAGAATAGGTTGAATTAGGGGTGAGTTTTGTAATGATCAAAGGATATGGATGATTCCCAAAGTAGAACAAGGGCAAAATGGGAATGAGTGTGTTTTTATTTCATTAAAAGGAATTAGAATCAAAGAACCCCTCATTTTCTTCTTCTCAACTTGACTCTTCATTCTTTCTCCTCTTAACTTCTCTTTTCTTTGATCAAGGATTTTCAAGGGGTTTTTGAAGTGATTTGGAGTAGAAAAGCAACCTAGGGCTTCCTAAGGTAGACTTCTCCTTAATTGTTGTTGTTGTGAGTTTTAGTCTCATATTGAAGTAAAGGGTTTTCATTTCTTTGGTTAAGATTAGAGAAAATCAAGCTAAACAAGTGAAGAAGAGTTGGTGAAGTCTCTCCATAACAAGGTAAGTAAAACCCAACCCAAGTTGAGATTTATGAATTTTCTTGATTAGGGTTTTGATAGAAGATGTATGTATGTGATGTGCATGAATATGGCATGTATGAGGATTAAATAGAGATTTCTATGCTTTGTGATTGTTTATACTTTGCAAATTTGAGAAATGGGTTTGTGGTTTGGCAAGGTAGTTGAGATGGTTTAGGGGTTTATGGGATCCCCTTTTGAAGTGTTTTTATGGCGTTTTGTGGCTTTGTGAAGGGGTTTTCCCCATTTTGGATGGTTAAGAAAAGTTTTAGAAGCATGGCTATGATAGAGTTTTGTAGTGCACATGAGTTGTTTGATGAAATGCCTAATGAGGTTTGAGTGTGAGTAGAAACCTTAATTCTTGCAACATTGCATGTTGGCATCTCATAAGTGCTTGGTGAGAATGACCATCCATAGGCACTAGTTGTACATGGAAAAGTGACCTAAAAAGTGTAAGGAAATGGTTATGCATTACCCTATGAGTAGAGAGCTTAGTGGGTAAAATTACTCTAGGTAGAGAGCATTGAAAAATGCACAATAGAATGATTAGAAGAGTAGTATAGTTGGATGATGCTTTGTGATCATTACCCACCGTTATGGGAATCGGATTGATGCTTGGTGATCATCATCCAATAGCCCTTAGGGGATGGGTCGTGCTTTGTGATC